ATAGGGCGGGAAGCTGGGTGTGGGTGGTGGCGAAGAGTCGTTTGGAAATTTGGTAGAGCTTGAACCGGCCCCCCCACAAAGTGGGGGTATTGCCCGCCTCCTATGAAAACCCTGGCACTGGTGAGAACGGAGTGTCCCCACGTGCTAGTAATTGTTGTTGTTGTTGTTGAACATTATTTATTCTAAAGAATAATTATTGTTGGGCCCCCTGGTGCGCGCCCCCCCTGCGCCGCCTAGGCCGCAGCTACATTTTCATCATTTTCGTGAGGAAGCCTCAGAAAAGAGGGTGTGTACAGGATCCGGTTGTTTTGTTGTAATCCGCTTTCCCTTGCAAAAAACAATAGAAAATGACATTTCTTGTTCTAATATAATCAAATTTCAAGAATCCCTTGCAAAAAATAAGGTAAAGTGGACATTCGCGCGCGCAAGACGAAATCCTTCCAAAACCTTAGTGTTCGAGCGATTTTAACATAAAAACATCAAAAAACCAATGGTTTTTCAAACAAAAAAATGTCAAAATCTCATCCCGCGCGCTCTTGCGGATTCGTAGGAAACCCAACACTTTTTAAACATTTCTGTCAAACGGGCTTTTGCGAGCAACTTTTTCGAACTTCTGCGACAACGGTTGCGCACCTGCCAGGGCCATCATCCCTGTCAAATAATACCATGCGGGACACATTCGTTTTTTCTTCGCGCGCGCACGCCGTCGTCGTCGGCCGCGGGGCCCTGAATAGTAGCCACGGTCGTCCGCATGCCACGAAGTGAAGTGTCCGAACGTCATAGGGCGGGAAGCTGGGTGTGGGTGGTGGCGAAGAGTCGTTTGGAAATTTGGTAGAGCTTGAGCCGGCCCCCCCACAAAGTGGGGGTATTGCCCGCCTCCTATGAAAACCCTGGCACTGGTGAGAACGGTGTGTCCCCACGTGCTAGTACTTGTTGTTGTTGTTGTTGTTGTTGTTGTCGGTGTCGTTGTCGTTGTCGTTGTTGTTGGTGTTGTTGTTATTGGTGTTAGTGTGGTTGTGATTGTTGTCGTGGTTGTGGTTGTGGTTGTGGTTGTCGTAGTTGTTGTTGTGGTTGTTGTTGTCGTCGCCGTCGTTGTTGTGGTTGTTGTTGTGATTATTGTTGGTGTTGTCGTCGTCGTCGTTGTTGAACATTATTAATTCTAAAGAATAATTATTGTTGGGGCCCCTGGTGCACGGCCCCCCTGCGCCGCCTAGGCCGCAGCTACATTTTCATCATTTTCGTGAGGAAGCCTCAGGTAATTCGATGTGATCAAGATCCGGTTGTTTTGTTCCCCCCCGCTTTCCCTTGCAAAAAACACTATAAAATGACATTTCTTGTTCTAATATAATCAAATTTCAAGAATCCCTTGCAAAAAATAAGGTAAAGTGGACATTCGCGCGCGCAAGACGAAATCCTTCCAAAACCTTAGTGTTCGCAGCGATTTTAACATAAAAACATCAAAAAACCAATGGTTTTTCAACAAAAAATTGTCAAAATCTCATCCCGCGCGCTCTTGCGGATTCGTAGGAAACCCAACACTTTTTAAACATTTCTGTCAAACGGGCTTTTGCGAGCAACTTTTTCGAACTTCTGCGACAACGGTTGCGCACCTGCCAGGGCCATCATCCCTGTCAAATAATACCATGCGGGACACATTCGTTTTTTCTTCGCGCGCGCACGCCGTCGTCGTCGGCCGCGGGGCCCTGAATAGTAGCCACGGTCGTCCGCATGCCACGAAGTGAAGTGTCCGAACGTCATAGGGCGGGAAGCTGGGTGTGGGTGGTGGCGAAGAGTCGTTTGGAAATTTGGTAGAGCTTGAACCGGCCCCCCCACAAAGTGGGGGTATTGCCCGCCTCCTATGAAAACCCTGGCACTGGTGAGAACGGAGTGTCCCCACGTGCTAGTAATTCTTGTTGTTGTGGTTGTTGTTGTTGGTGGTGGTGTTGGTGTTGGTGTTGTTGTTGTTGTTGTCCTTGTAGCCCTCGTCCTCGTCGTCGTCCTCCTTGTCGTCGTCCTCCTCGTCCCTGTCGCCGTCGCCGTCGTCGTCGTCGTCGTCGTCGTCCTCGTCGTCGCGGTGCGTGCCGACGCCGCAGGCTTCGGGGGGGGAGGTCGCTCGGGGGGACCTGAGATCCTGGCGTTGCAACTTTTTCGAAACGGGCGTTTTCGCAATGTTTTGGGGACCCGGGGCCCTCACATCTCGATCTGTCTCGAAGAACGACGCAGAAGCTTGGGGTCTAGGGCTCTGGGCCAGATTTTGCACGATTTTGCACATTTTTTTACGCTACGTCGGATCGCTGGGGGGGGGGCCGACGAGGTTCGAGGATCGGGGCTCGGGAGCCGACGCATTGAGCAGAGGCCTCCTCGAGTCTCAGCCCGTCAGGGGCTCTCACAGTCATGGGCCGAAGCCGATGCGTGCGTGCGTGCGTGTGTGTGTGTGTGTGTGTGTGTGTGTGTGTGTGTGTGTGTGTGTGTGTGTGTGTGTGGGGGGGGGGGGGGCATGGTGGCCGTATGTATGACCCCCTTCCCGCTCTCGGTGCGTCCCCCGCCCCCCCCCCTCCTCCCCTCCCCTCCTCCCCGTCCTCCCCCTCCTCTCCTCCCCTCCTCCCCCTGTTTTTGGGGGGCTTCGGGGCTCGGCTTTGGGGGGGGGGGAGGCGACTCGAAGCCCGAGTGTCGAGGATCGGAACTCGGAGGCCGAGCTGCCTCTGAGTTTTCTTTGGGGCTCCGGGAGGCCTCTCGTGGCCACGGCTGCGTCGGCCTCGGAATGCCGGGCGGGGCGCGCCCCGGGAGAGTTCCCAGGGGATCGGCTTGCGACCCCCAATCCCGGATCTCTGACGATCGAGCAGGTTTTCGGGGTCCTTCCTCCCCCTCCTCCTCCTCCTCCTCCTCTTCCTCCTCCTCCTCCCCCTCCTCCTCCTCCTCCTCCTCCTCCTCCTCCTCCTCTTCCTCCTCCTCCTCCTCCTCCTTCCTCGCTCCTCCTCCTCCTCCTCGGGGGAGGGGCATTTCAGGCTGCCAACTTTCCGAATCCACACCGGCCTTCCGACTCCAGCGTCCAAGTTTCCGATTCCAGCTCCCTACATTCCGACTCCGGCCGAGTTCGGAACTCAGACCTGAGGCGCCCCGGCGCATCCGCCGTTCCCTACAAGGGACGCCCTGTGGGCGACATCGGCGCCGCTCCGCTCCGCTCCGCGGGGGGGAGGGGAGCACCAGGCCAACCGGGGTGCCCTGGGCTTCTTGGGCTTCGAGGCTCTTGCTGTGGCAGGCGCGACGCTCCCGCGCCAGCGCTCGGTGGATGTCCTGGGGTCTCAGGCTTGGGCTTCGCGCGGGAGGTTTCCCGTGGTCGAGCTCCTGCTGTAGGTGCCCTCGTTCCCGATGCGGCGTGCCGCCCCCGGTGGCCCGCGTGAGCCGCGGGCTCGCCGAGGCAGGCCCGCCGAAGGGGGGCGGCGCGCCGCGGGCGACCCGAGGGCGCTTCGGTCTCGCGGCGGGGCGTGCAGAGGCGGCCGCGGCTCAGCGAGCAGAGGCCCGTCGGGCGCTGGGTTGGTCGGCTGCGGGCAGAGGCGGCCGCGCTCAGCGAGCAGCGAGCAGAGGCCCGTCGGTGGCGTGGTGCCTCGGCGGCGCACGCGGCAGCGGGTGCGCGCCAAGGGGCGCGGCGGGATGAAGTGGCGCCAGAGCCAGATGTTGCTCCCGATGCCTTTGTTCTTCCTCGACTTCGGCCTCGGGGGTCCCGTTGTCGGGCCCTGGGGCTATCGGAGAGTGGCCAGGGATGAGCAACTGCCCCTGGACACGGGGTCGGGGCCTCCAGGGCCGCGCCTTGCAGATATCACATCGTCAGATGCCAGCCGCCACCGGTTCTTGCCTTTCCTGACTCGGGTATAGCCAGGACCCCAGGTCAGGGGACCAGGTTAGTAGTAGGGCCTCATTGCCCCTAACTTGGCGGCCAGAATCACTAAACCAGGTCTGCCATAGGTTGTGTTTTTTTCGGGTGACGGTTGTTCCGGTTAGTGGGACGGGGCGGGGGGAGCGTCCCCCCGCACACGTAATTCAACCAGGTTCCACTAAACCCAGTTCTTCCAACGTCCGACTGACCTGATCTGGTTAGTTAGTTTCGAGCTTTTTCCCAACCATCCTGTTGTGTTGGATCTTCGTTTCGAAGAAACAGCGCCCCGCGTTCTCTTCCCGCCTCCTCCCTCCTCCAATCCGTGCCTCTGCCCTCCGCATGCCCACCATTTCGGCACACCCCTCACACGTTTCGTGGCCCCATCGGGAGCTCCACCGATGGCTCCATTGGGAGGGTTCGCATGGCACCACCGCACCCAGTTCGGCACACCCCTCACACGTTTCGTGGCCCCATCGGGAGCTCCATCGATGGCTCGCATGGCACCACCACGCCCAATTCGGCACGCCCCTCACACGGTTCGTGGCCCCATAGGGAGCTCCACCGAAGGCTCCAGTGGGACGGTTCGCATGGCACCACCGCGCCCAGTTCGGCACACCGCTCACACGTTTCGTGGCCCCAAAGGTAGCGCCGATCCCCAATCGCCCATGGATCGCCGATAGGGGCCCGATAGCCCTAACGTGCCCAGGAACGTGCGTATGCAGTATCGGGGCCCTATCGCCGATCTATCGGTGATGTATCGCCGATTCCAGGTCGCTGTGGGGGGCAAAAAGACGCAGACACGAATCATCGTCGAATCCAAGGAACATGTAGGAAAACATGGGAAGTGTGTGTGTGTGTGTGTGTGTGTGTGTGTTTGTGTGGGGAGAGGGAAAACAAGAACGCAGAAGATATACATGAATATGGGAGAGAACGCGTTTCACGGGCGCTCGCTTTTGGAACATTCGGCGGCGCGTTTCGAACCGGGGGGTGGGCCCGCCCCCCCAACACTCGGCGCCGTCGATCAAAACCAGGGGGGCTCCCCTCCCCCCCACCCCCCCCCTCCCGAACCACCCTCCGCCCCGCGCCGGCGCCCCGCGCCGGCGCCAGCGCTGGCGGCCGCCAGCAGCGTCGACGGCGGGGACGCAGCGACGATGACCAGAGGCAGTGGGGTTTTCACTCCCCCCCACCCGGGCGGCCAGGGGGGGGGGGGAATCCGCCCCCCCTGGCGCCGACGCTGACGCTGGCGGCGGCCAGCAGCGACGGCGCTGGCGCCGGCGATGGCGGGGACGCAGCGACGATTACCACCAGTACCACCGCCGCCACCACTACTACAACCACCACCACCGCCTCAACCCACCACCACCACCACCAACCCACCACACCACCACCACCACCACCACAGCCACCACCACCACCACAACTGCCACCACAACTCACCATCACAACCACCACCACCACCACAAAAACCCACCACCACTACCACCACCACCACCACCACCACCACCACCACCACAATCTACCACACTACCACCACCACCGCCACAACCACCACCACTACCAGCAGCGCAATCCACCGCCACCACCACAAACCACCACACCACCACCACTACCACCGCCACCACAAGCACCACCATAACCACTTCCACAAACCACCGCCACCACCACAGCCCACCACCACCACAAACCACCACCACCACACCACCACCACACCACCACCACACCACCACCACACCACCACAACCACCACCACGACAACTCACCATCACCACCACCACCACCACAAAAACCCACCACCACTACCACCACCACCGCGATCTACCCCACCACCACCACCACCACCGCCACAACCACGACTACCGGCACCACAACCCACCACCGCCACAAACCTCCACCACCACCACCACCTCAACACCCGCCACCACCACAAGAACCACCTCCACAAACCACCGCCGCCACCACAACTCACCACCACCACCACCACAACCACCACCACAACCACGACCAAACCACCACCACAACAACCCACCACCACCACCACAAACCACCACCACCCCACCACCACACCACCACCAAGCCACCACCACCACACACCACCAACCAACACCACCCACCACCCACCCACACCACCCACCACCACCCACCACCCACCCAACACCCACCCACCCACCCACCAACCCCCCCCCCACCACCACCCACCCACCCACCCACCCACCCACCCACACCACCAAACCATCACACCACCACCGCCACAACCACACCACCGCCCCACCACCACCACCACCACAACCCACCACCACCACCACCATCGTCGTCCTCGTCGACGCTCCCCGCCGCCGCCGCCCGCCGCCGCAGGCGCCGGCGCCGGTCCAGAAAAAGAAATCATCGTCCCCACCGCCGCCGCCAGCCGCCGCCGACGCAAGCGCCGGCCCAAGGAGAGGGGAAGCAGAGAAGGAAAAGGGGGGGGAGGTGGGGGGTCCGGTTTCACCCCCCCCATGCCAAGCGACCACAAAACGCGCTCTTTCGAATATGGGAACCCTGGGGTCCGTGTCTGATTCTTTGTGTGTCCCTGGGCCCCTTGTCCCCCCCCTGTGCCAGTCCCCCCCTCCTATCGCTGCCCTTTACTCGGCGGCGAGCGAGGGGATGAAGTGAGACGGGGCGGGCCTTCTCAGAAGGCTCGGAAGTCCCTCGGCCCTCCGAGACATTTCCGAAGCTTTCTCCGGAGACGCGGAAAACTTTCCAGAAGGCGCGAGGGTTTCTGGGAAGCCTCACCGCATTCTGAGAAGGCCTTCTCCTTCTCCCTTCCCCCCCCCACGCCGCCGAATCTTGGTCAAAATCGGTCCCCGGGCCCCTCCTGGTGTCCCCCCGGCGCGGTTTTTCGCCCTGCATCGGGCTTCAGGGGCCCCGAGGCCCGAAATCGGCCCCCAGAGGCCGAAAACTATGAAAACCCGCCTCGAAACCCGAACTTCGAATCTCTAACCTCGTATCGGCGTCACCCCAACATGCTTTACTGTATGTGCGTCGCCCCCCCCTGGGGCGACGCGCGTACCGAGAAATCTTGTAGTGCATGCGTCGTTGCGGGCGTTTTCTGGCCACGCCGCTCGGGGAACGATGCGCTACAAACCGTTCTACTATATGTTCGAGTCGGACACGTGCCTCTGAGGAGGACATATAGCATGAGTATGTCTCTGTGTGCCCCCGCCCCGAACCCCGAACCTCGAAGCTCGAGCCTCGAAGCTCGAACCCCGAACCTCGAATCCCGAACCTCGCCTCCGAATAGCGGGCGTCGCGGTCCTGCGCTTCCCTCCCCGCGCAGAGAGGGCGCCCCCCGGCCGCCGTGGGAGACGGTGGGCCGCGCGGCCCCGCCGCAGGAGCCGCGGCGGGGGGGGGGCCGCCGCCGCCGCCGTCGTCGTCGTCGTCTTCGTCGTCGTCGTCGTCATCGGCTTCATCGTTTGTTTCGTTTTTTTTTTTTTTTCGTCGTCGTCGTCTTCATCATCATTTTTCTGTTCTTCTTCGTCGTCGTCGTCTTCGTCGTCGTCGTTCGTCTTCGTCATCGTCGTCTTTGATGCTTGAGGATCGATGCTCTGGAGGCTTCTGGGCGGCTTGGGCACCCTTCGGGCCTTCGGTGACCCTCCCGGAGACCTGAGGGCTTTCGGGGATCTTCGGGCCTCCGTCGTCGTCGTCGTCGTTGCCGCCGCCGCCGCCGCCGTCGTGGCCGCCGCCGCCGCCGTCGTGGCCGTCGTGGTCGTCCTCCTTCCTGCACCCTCCCTTCCTGGACACTCCTCCACCCTCGCCCTCAACAGCACCGATTGGCCCAACTGCGTCGCCAGAGGTGTAGCCTGGCTGAGGCCGTGATCTCTCTCTGCTGCGGGTTCCGCTTCCGGTGCCCACCCTGCGCCGGCCAGCGAGGTCCCGACCTCGCCCGCTCGGCCCTCGAGGAGGCCCCCAGGGCGATCGCCCCAACGAGCGTTCCGTTCCAATCCGTTCCACCCTCCCAATCCTCGTCTTCCATCCGACGTGGTTTCGGAGTTCCCGTCGGCTTCGGAGCGCAAGGGTGAGGATGGTTAAATCTCCCGGCCTGACGATCCTCCAGAAGAGAAGAACCCCTAGCCCTACCAGCACACTAGGGACGTAGCTCATCTTAGGTCCCCGTGCTTACATTGGGGATGCTCTAGCAGTTTGGTTTGATTTCACGTATCTTCAGGAAAGCCCCCATGTCCCTCATGCTTTGGGACTCTTGACTTCTGTCCGCTCCCAAAGTGTCAGGGGTACTTGCTTTGCTCTGCGGAGACGGGGGGTCCAGAGAAGGGGTTCTGCCTCATACGCTCAACACTCTCCTACATACCCCTGTCCCTACTTGGCGTCAGGTCCGAGGCCCTCTGCAGGCCATGCGTTTGCCTCTGACCAGGATCGGGTGGCATATGCCATCGTGGCATACTCTCGTCAACAGTTTCGGTGACGAGATCCTGCTCACCACCACGTCGCCAGCTCTCGTGGCCGATCTTCTGTTTGGGGGGGGGTATCCGCTCGCACCAGAGGGCGGTGGGCGACAAGTTTGGGACGGGGAGGATGTGCTTCGATGTCGTGGCCTCAGAGTTGCGACGTTCGGCTCACACGCCGCGCGATCGAGGTGTTATCAGACTGCTCGCTTGCGACGGCACCTGGACTAAGGACCGCACCATCGAGCGCGGGTACCAGCTTCAAGACAATATGTGCCCTCTTTGCGGCGTTGCTCCTGATAGTCTACTGCACCGGCTGTGGCAGTGCCCTTGTGTCTCTGATCAGCGCCAAGAGGCCTGTGACGCTGCCATTATAAATGATGCCCTTCGTGTTATTGAAGAGGGCAGCGACCATCATAAGGTTTTATTTTCCAGGGGTATTTTCCTTCATCCAGGAAATTGGTTGCCGAGGCCCGCTGGGGCTGGTAAGATCGTCCACACCCTTGCTGGAGGTCCTGGTTCCGCTCCTGGAGCCGGTGGCGTTTCGGGAGATATTTTTTGGGACGGATCGCCTTTTAAGCACGTCATCAAGGAGCTGTCGAGGGCGGGCTGGGGTTTTGTCTCTGTGGACCACCAGGGTGATTTCATCGCTTCTGTTTCTGGGGCCGTGTCCGGGCCTTTCCCCCAGACCTCGCAGGCTGGGGGATACAGTGACTACTCGGCAACCGCTCAGTGCCTGGAAGGGCCTACTACGGGCTACGCGGATTGTGAAGGGGTCGTTCGGGCCCACGTTGCTCCCAAGGCTGTGCGTTTTCCTTCTAAGAAGAAATACTCTGGCAGTGCTGTTTTCGCTACCTCTCGGCTATGGAGAGCCGTGAGGAAGGTGAAGGCCCACACTGTTGAGTCTGCCAACATGACCGCCGAAGAGCGGTTCTTCAAATTAGGCAATGATGCAGCCGATAGGGCTGCTCAGCACGGCGCGTCTCTCCATCCGCAGGCCAGTGCGGAAGGGATGGCGCAGGTCGATCGAATTGTTGCCTCTGCTCGTGCGGTCTGTCGTGTGGCCGCCGCCGCCGTTTTACCCAGCTGGTCGAAGCTTGATATCAGCGAAGTGACGCGTGCCATTCCCATGCCGCCTCCTCCTTCGCTCGAACCTCGCTTCGATCATCAATGGGATTGGTATCGCAGTGTGTGGCGATGCATGTGCTGCCTCCGTTTTCGTCGCTCCGCCGAGCGGCCTGCACTTGGTGGCTGCCGCGGTGATCCGCCGCCTGCTGTGCATCAGATTTCGAATTTGGGTCGCCGCACGCTTGCTTTGCAGTGCAGTGACGAGTCGCCGCTTTTCGCTTGTCTCAAGTGTAAAGTTTACACCTGTCTCGGGCGAGTGCTGCGAGTGAGCCGTCCGTGCGATCCTTAGCTGCCTGGCCGTCATGGCATGGATCGCTGGCGGCTCATGAAGCGTGGGTCCCACCCTAAGCTCAAAGGGGTTACGGTCGAGCCTCTGCCTGATATGGATCAGTGAATATCACCGCCATGCTTGCTCATCGTCCTGGCGTTTGTTACACCAGGGGTGAGTGCTCGTTGAACCTGCGATGTCTTGCAGTAGAGTTTGGAGTCTCCGACGTTTTCTGTATTGTGCAGATATGTTCTGTCACTCGTGCGTGCTGGGTCAGACCCGTTTGTGGCCTGTTCCCCCTGCTTTGGAGCAGAAGAAGGCGGAGCCATGTTCGCTCCGACCAGAGGCCGTGGGTCTAATCTGGAGGGCTCCGCCAATTGGGCACTGGCTTAACGGCTGAGTGCTAGGCCCACACCAGGGATGGAGCTTGGTATCTCCCTGGCGTTTGTTACACCAGGGGTAGTTTTGCCAAGTCGTCCTGGCGTCGCCTCGGGACTTTGTGTGCGTATGGGTGCGTGCGCGTCTGCACGGGTATCAGGCACCCCAGTTGTGGGGGAGGGTGCGCCGCACGTGTGTTACGACCTGTTCTTGCGCTTGGCACGGGGGTTTCTCTGCCCTGAACGTTGCTTTGCTCAGGCTCCCCGTTGTCATTCCTCCTAGGAGTGGCTGGGATCCTTGCTCATAGTCCTGGCGTTCGTTACGCCAGGGGTGAGTGTTGTCTCGGTTTTATTTCCGCGTATGCGCTTGTGTGTGTGTTGTCTGTGCGAGCCCTGCACGTGCATCAGGCACCCCACAGTGGGGGAAGGTGCGCTGCACGTGTATCGGCGTGGTGCTAGTTACGTTGCCTGCCTAAACCATCCTCGGGCTTCTTCCTGCAGTCGTGTGCCCTCTGCCCTCAGCCTTCTCGGGCAAGTGGGCCCCTGTGCACGGCTGGGTGGCCCCTGCTGGCCCCTGGCGACCGTTGCGCGGGCGCTGCACGTGGGAGCTATAGGCTCGATCGGCGGGGGGTGCAGGTTGCGCTGCCTGCCCTGGAACCCGAGCCTTGGGGTTCCCCCTGCCGCCGTTGCCATTCTCCCCTGCCGATTCTTCTGGGCGATGGGCCTCCTTCTGCGGAGGTGCAGGTTTCGCAGCCTGCCTTGAACCCGAGCCTTGGGGGTCCTCCAGCATTTGGTCCCCTTTGCCCTGGCCTGCTTGTTTTTTTCTGCGGGCGAGGTGGGCCCTTGTGCATGGCTGGGGTGGTCCTCGCGGGCCCTTTTTTGTCCGTTGCGCGGGTGCTGCCTGTGGGAGTTCTGGGCGCGGACGGCGGGGGGTGCAGGTTACGCTGCCTGCCCTGGAACCCGAGCCTTGGGGTTCCCCCTGCCGCCGTGGTCCTTCTCCCCCCCCTTTTCCCTTTCGGGCTGTGCTCCCCACTATGCACGGCTTGGTGGCCACGGGCTGCCAGGCGACCGGTGCGCAGGGGTGCCTGCGGTGGGCGGTGGGCACGGGTGCGTACCAGCCGCTCCGGCCGTTGCCACTTCCCCTTCGCTTCCCCTTTCAGCGAGGTGGAGGTCAGCCTCCCTGGTCGCAACGCCGTCCAGGGTTGGTTTCTTGCGCCAAGGAGCGCCCTCTGAGGGTTTCGCCGCCCCTCAGTTGTATCGTGGCTGCTTTGTTTTCCTTCAGGTCACCTGTAGGGCAGTGTGGATTGGAAAAAATCCCCCTCCTCCACCTTCTACCCCCTCCTCCAGCTTCCAATCCGTGCCCCCCCCCGAGCTTGACAGCACTCGCGGCGGAAGGAGGAGGGAGGAACACGAGGATGAGGAGGAGAGGAGGGACGAGGGAGGAGGAAGGGGGGGATCAGGAGGAGGAGGAGGAGGAGGAGGAGGAGGAGGACGAAGAGGAGGAACAGGAGGAAGAGGAGGAAGAGGAAGAACAGGAGGAGGAAGAGGAGGAGGAGGAGGAGGAGGAGGAGGACAGGAGGAGAGGAGGGAGGAGGAGGAGGAGGAGGAGGAGGAGGAGGAGAAGGAGGAGGAGGCGGAAGAGGGAGGAGGAGGAGCAGGAGCAGAGTTATGAGGAGTGATTAGGAGGGGAAGGAGGAGGAAGAGGAGGAGGAGGAGGAGGAGGAGGAGGTGGAGGAGGAGGAGGAGGAGGGATGAGGGATGATGGATGAGGTAGGAGGGAGGATGGAGGGGGGAGGAAGAGGAGGAGAAGGACTAGGAGGAATAATGTAGGATGGAGGAGGAAGGACTGTGGAGTGTTGAATGAGTAGGGAGGAGGGAGGAGGGAGGAGCAGGAGGAGGAGGAGGAGGACTAGGACTAGGAGGAGGAGGAGGAGGACGAGGAGGTCGGAGGACGAGGAGGACGAGGAGGAGAAGTAGGAGGAGAACCGATGGGGAGGAGGAATGGGAGGAGGATGGATGGTGTGCTCAGGGTGCATCAGTCGTGCTGCCAGGGACGCGCAGCGGCCACTTCAGGGGACACAGACAGACAGACACATATCCCGCACGTCTACAGAGCTGGTCCTGCAGAGGACACGGGAGGAAACATAGCTTGCAGAGAGCACACGCAACACACACGACAAGACGGGGGTACGGTGAACGATTTCCGAGATGGGGAGCCGTTCGCCCCTCGTTCTTCAAGCGTTGCTCGCATGCCGTACTTGGAGTGCCCCCTTATCCGTGGGTCGCAGATCGTATGTTTAGTGAGTTTCATGCCCCGCGCCCTCCCACCCCAGGCGCAGGAGACGCGCGCCTCTGAACCTTTGGGCGCGTCGCAAGCGTGGCGGGCAGGAGCCCACCCTCTGAGGCCCAGAGGTTGGCACCAACACCAACATCGGCGGTGTGCCTCCGCCGAGGGAAGACAGTCCCGATCTCGGCGACGGTGGTAATGCTCAGGCTTCCCAGGTGGCCGAGAGATCACCACCAAAACCAAACGCTGAAACCATCCCCCCCCGTGGACGCACCCCCCTGTTTTGGTGTTGGCGTTTTTTATTTCCAAGCCTCCGACACCCCGCCCAAAACGCGCCTTCCTGCTCCCGTGCTTCTGCGCTCCCCCGGCCCGACCCGCGCTTGCGTCCGACGAGAGAGGACGCCCCCGAGCGGTCGGGTGACGTCGGCGGCTGCGTGTGGGCGCTGTCGCGGACGCCCCAGGTCCGAGGCTGGGACTGATCCAAACGTAACCGCTGGGGGGTCGGTCTTCGGGAACCTCGGCAGGCGGTGGACAAGGACATGTTCGAGCCCCCTGGGGCCAACGTAGTACCCATGTTCACCGCTCGCCAGGGATGCCAGGACGTCGGTTCCCCAGGCGGTGGTTGTGGTGAATCGGCGGCGACCGAGGGGGAATAGTGAGAAGAAGAAGAGGGCCTTCTGAGAAGGCGGCGATGCTTCTGAGAAGGCCTCCAGCCTTCTGAGAAGTTTGTTTGTTTGTGCCTTCGGGGAGGTTCAGAACACTTCTCGGAAGGCCAGGGGACTTCCTCCGAGCCTTTTGAGAAGGCCCGCCCAGTCTCACTCCCCCCCCTCGCTCGCCGCCGAGTCAAGGGGCAACCATGGGTGGGGACTGGCACAGGGGGTGACACTAAAGGGGTCCAGGGACAGACAAATAAACAGACACGAGTTCCAGGGTTCCCCCTTTTTCCTACATGCGTTCTGGGTTCTCGTTCTCCCCCCCCCCCACTTCCAATGTTTTCCCATATTTTCATTGGGATTCGGCGATGAATCGTGTCTGTGTCTTTTTGCCCCCCCCTCCTCCCCACACAGCGACTTGGAATCGGCGATACATCGCCGATAGATCGGCGACGGCCCCGATGATGAATATCCGCACCTTCCTGAGCAGCTTGGGGCTCTCGGGCCCCCATCGGCGAGATCCATGGGCGATTGGGGGCCGCTGCCCCCCCCCTGTGCCTCTCCCCCCCTGTCGTTGCCCCTGAGGGTCCGGGGGGGGGGAGGAGGCGGCGGAGGCGGAGGAGGAGGAGGAGGGGGAGTCGGAGGAGGAGGAGGAGGAGGAGGAGGAGGAGGGCTTGGTGAAACTGCCTGCAGCGGGCTCGTGCCGTGCCGAGTGGCTCGCCGCCCAGTGGCCCCCCGCCGCGCGCGCCAGGGCTGCCGGCGCGTGCAGCAGGCCCTGGACGACGCGCGCGGGCCCGAGGCCTGCGGGCGCCTGGCCGCCGAGCTGCGAGGGCACGTCTGGGACGCCCTGCGCTGCCCGCACGCGAACTTCGTGCTGCAGAAGTGCATCACGACGGCCAGCCCCGACGCGTGCCAGTTCATCGTGGACGAGCTGCTGCAGAGGTCGGCTTCGGTATCGCAAATCGTGGGGGCCGCGTGTGTGTGTGCCCTCGTAATACATTTCGTCTTTCGCGACGGCTCGTGTCGATGTCAGCGCTTGGGAGTCGATGAGGTGGCGCCGATTTGGCGTCGGCTAGCGTCGATTAGCGTCACTCGAAGAAGACAAAACGCCATGAACCATAATCTTTTGGCGCTCCGCGAGGATTTCTTGGATCCACGCTGGGCCCCCCCTGCGCCGCCTCTGGCGCCGCCCCAGGCGCGCTCCGCGCGCCAGGGAGGGGGTCCAGCGCAGATCCAAGAAATGCACGCGGAGCGCCAAAAGATTATGGTCATGGCGTTGCTTTGTTTCTTCTTCTTGCTCTTCTTGTTCTTGTTCTTCTTCTAATCACGACTGCCAGCCCCGACGCCTGTCAGCTTATCGTGGACGAGATGTTGCAGAGGTCGGTCGGAGGAGGGCACAGCGGAGGCTTCCGGGCGTTTTCTCATCGTTTCCTGGAGGTCTTACACTCTCTGATTGGCCTGTGTTCCACCACCACCACCATAAGTTGGAGGGGGAGGGGGTCTTCCGCCTCTCATAAGTTGGAAGGAGGAGGACGAGGAGGAGGAGGCGGAGGCCGAGGAGGAGGAGGTGGAGGAGGTGGAGGAGGACGAGGACGAGGACGAGGCGGAGGAGGAGGAGGAGGAGGAGGAGGAGGAGGAGGAGGACCTCGTGGTGGAAAACAGGCCCACCGCTCGCGGGGTGCGCTCTCAGGCCGCTGCGCCTCGCCGCGAGGCGCGCCGCGGGGTGTCCAGAGATCAGAACCGAGCGGCCGCCGGAGGCCCCCGTCTTGGCCCGAGGGCTGGCCGGCCGAGGCACGGGCGGCGCTCCCGTGGCACCTTCTGTGCCCGTTGGGAGGGGGAGTCGGAGGAGGAGGAGGAGGCGCCGGAGGAGGAGGAGGAGCAGGAGGAGGAGGAGGAGGAGGAGGAGGAGGAGCAGGAGGAGGCCTCCTGGAGGCTGCTCGTCGACGCAGCTGGATCCGCATCGACAGCAGATGGACCCAGGGAAGGGTCCAGGGTGAAGTCGGGCCTGTCCCTCTACAGGAGGAATACCCAGAAGCAAATCGTCCGGGGGCCATTCTGTGAGCATTGGGGTATTTTGTATGTTTCGTCCCAAATCCCCCTGTAGGGGGACATGCCCGACCAAAGTCCAGGGGCAGGTTTTGAGCGGACTTGGGCTGGGTGGGAGAGCCGCCGTTGTTTCAACTGGCGCCTCCCGGCGCCGGGAGGCTCTGGGAAAGTCAGCTACGTGAGCTGATTCTCTACCCTACCCTTTGCTATCCGCCCCTTTTCTTCCCCCCGATCTGAGCGCATTTGGGCTGAGTGAGAGAGCCGCCGTTGTTTCAACTGGCTCTCCTCGAGGCGGCCCAGGGCCTGGGCCGCCCCCAGGGGCGCCGAGGTGGCTGAGCTCCGCGCGTCGCGGTCTGGGCCAGATGTCGTCGTCCTCCTCTTCCTCCTCCTCCTCCACAATTACTCAATATGAATACTACTCTCCCTCTTCCCCTGATGACGGTTTGAAAGTGCTCGACCCCCCCCGCGTACTGTTTTCTTACACACAGGTTTTCCCGGAGTTGGGTTTTCGCCTGCATTTCTTTCAAAATGCTGCTCTCGCTGAGGCGCCGGCCTCATTTTCGGGCCCCGCTCGTTCCGAATCGTGCTTCCGCTGCAGCGCGCTGGCCTCATTTCCGTGCTTCCGCTCGTTCCGAATCGTGCTCCCGCTGCAGCGCTGGCCTCATTTCTGCGCTTCCGCTCGTTTCGACTCGCGCTCCCGCTGCAGCGCTGGAATCATTTCCCGTGCCATGCCACGGCATGCAATGCAGTGCTAGGTTGCTACTACGCTTTGCGGTGCTCTTCTACGCCATGCCATGCCGTGCTCTACAATGCATCGCGTACCCTTTCGGGATCATTGCCCTGCTCGACATCCGACTGTGCGAGTAGAGAGGGGATCTACGCTATGGTAAAGGATGGGAGGGAGGGGTAGGATGTCAGATATGACGCGAACGCACCTGGCTTGTCCTCCTCCCCCTCCCCCTCCCCCTCCCCCTCCCCCTCCTCTCCCTCCGCCTCCTCCTCCGCCTCCTCCTCCTCCGCCTCCTCCCCCTCGTCCTCCTCCTCCACCTCCACCTCCTCCTCCCACTGCTCCTCCTCCGCCTCCTCCTCCTCCTGCTCCTTCTCCTCCTCCTCCTCCTCCTCCTCCTCCTCCTCCTCCTACCCATCCCCCTCCTCCGCCTCCGCCTCCGCCTTCGCCTCCGCTGCCGCCTCCTCCTCCTCCTCCTCCTCCTCTTCCTCCTCCTCCTCCTCCTCCACCTCCTCGGCACAGAGAGGTTCCCGCTCAGAAGTACGTTTTCGCATCCCACCCCCACCGCAGCATTTTAGGCCGCCCAGATGAGACCAGAATTGATGGAGTCGCAGGATCGCGCCGCATCGCCGATGCATCGTTGATGCGGCTCGATGTGGAGTCCGACTTTCTCTATGCCGACGGCGCCGATGCGTCGCCGATGTCGACGATGCGTTGCCGATGCAGTGTCGATGCATTGGCGATGCGGCGCGATCCTCCGACCCCATCTGGGTGGAATCTAAGCATGTGCTCCAGTGTGGCGCGGCTTTTGCAAGCAGAGACCCGCGCGGGAAGCGGGGAGGCAGTTCGGCAGGGGAAGGGATGCGGTCAAACAGGCTGGCGAGGACGAGGAAGAAGGCCGGCGGGAAAGGTAACACATCATATCTATCATGGAAATGCTTGCCATGACCAGGGTTGTGCGGAGGGGCTGGCTGGGGTTAGCCAGGGGGTTTGCCGGGTTTTTTTTTCCCGGAAAGGGCGCGGGCCCAGGGTTCTCTTTTAGTAGGTTAACCCCCCGGCCCCCCTGCGACTTGTGCCGGCGAAATTATTTTGCGAGCGGGCACGCACGGAGTAGGGCCGGCGAAATTATGTTTGAGGATGTCTCGAGCGAAACGCTTGTTTTTCAGAATTTGTTGAGGATGTCTCGAGCGAAACGCTGGTTTTGCAGAGTTGGGGATGTCTCGAGCGAAACGCTTGGTTTCAGAATTTGTTGAGGATGTCTCGAGCGAAACGCTGGTTTTGCAGAGCCGACCGCGACACGGAAAAGCGCTCCTCGCGCAGGAATTCCGAGGATGTCTCGCGCGTGCCGCGTCCCGCACGCAGGAATTTTGATTTCTTTGGGTTTTGACAGGATTTCTCAAGCGAAACGCTTGTTTTTCATAATTTGTTGAGGACGGTGCGACCCCATGGCGCGTCCCCTGGCACGTCGCCTGGCGCATCCCTTGGGACGTTTCGCGGCGCGTCCTCCTGGCATGTTCCCCTTGTCAATTAGCTCTGGGGCAGCTACTATGTGTTCAGGCAGCTCGAGCTTAAGATCCAGATCAGTTCGGTCAGGACTCGGATGCAAAGGAGGACTCGATCCACGACGCTATAGAGCACAATCGCGGCATGGCACATCGCAATTCAGCACGGCGCAGCACAGCACAGCCCTCGGCACGGTACATCAAGATCGATACACTCAGCATTGCAACTTGGCACGTTCCTTGGCACGTTCCGTGGGGCGTCCCTTGGCGAGTCCCCCTGGCACGTCGCGTGGCGCGTCCCCTGGCACATTCCGTGGCACATCCATTGGCACGTTCCGTAGCGCGTCCCTTTGGCACGTCCTACGGTGCGACCCCATGGCGCGTCCCCTGGCACGTCGCCTGGCGCATCCCTTGGGACGTTTCGCGGCGCGTCCTCCTGGCATGTTCCCCTGTCCATTAGCTCTGGGGCAGCTACTATGTGTTCAGGCAGCTCGAGCTTAAGATCCAGATCAGTTCGGTCAGGACTCGGATGCAAAGGAGGACTCGATCCACGACGCTATAGAGCGCAGTCGCGCCATGGCACATCGCAATTCAGCACGGCGCAGCACAGCACAGCCCTTGGCAGGGTACATCAAGATCGATACACTCAGAATTGCATTTGCCCGTCACCCAATCAGGTGTCTTTGAAAACGCTGCCATGTGTTACAGTTCTATATTCCTTTCCGGGTTCGTGGGTCGATCATGTTTTCCACGATATAGTTTACGTACGATCTGCGGAGTGGGTATGGCTCGGTTAGGTCCCCCACGATGGCGGTGTGGTCAACCTTCGAGGCATGTGCTCGTGCGTGAAGGGATTGTGGTGGTGGTGGTGGCGGTAATAATGAGGCGGGGGGACAGACAGGGCGATCATGTAACTGGAACTGGAGCAGGGGGAGTGGGTGGGTAGATTTGTTCGATGTTCGTCATAACGCGTTTTGTTGGCACGAACATACGTTTCTAGGATCATCGACAGGAGGAGATGGGGGTGGGAAGGAGATAGGACGACGATGTGAACGACGATAGAATGATGATGATTATGATGCTGCTGCTGATGATGATGATTATGATGATGATAACGATGGTGCTGCTGATGATGATACTGACGATGATGATGGTGACGTTGCTAATGCTGATAAGGATGATGCTGATGATGATGCGGATGATGATGCTGATTATGCTGCTGCTGATGGTGATGATAATGGTGCTGATGATGGCGATGATGCTGATTGAAGTCATGATGGTGAATCTTAATGATGGGGATGATGAGGAAGAATGTGGGTATGGTGTTGATGATGGCGACGATGATGATGCTGATGATGACGCTGATGGTGCCGATGACGATGACGGTGCCGATAATGATGACGATTATGATGAAGATAGTGATGATGGTGATGTTGATGCTGTTGTTGATGATGGTGATTGTGATCATGAAGATGCTGGTGCTGGTGGTGATGAGTATAATGGTGTAACGTTCACAGGTATGTGGAACGGGGTACGGAGAAGCCGTAGCCACGAACCAAACATGTGCCTTAAGAAGTGGTGGTGATGATGACGATGATGATGCTGATGATGATGATGCGGATGATGACGATACGAATGGTGATGCTGTTGATAATGATGATGATGGTTGTGGTGAGGATGATGATGCTAATCCTGATGGATGGGGTTGATGATGGTGATGACGACGATAATGACGACGACTAGTGATAAGGATGTTCTTGATGATGCTGACAGTAGGGGTGGTCTTGATCGAGATGGTTGCGGTGCTGATGACGATGATGATGCTGCTGACGTTAATGATCACGATGAGTATGATGATGATGGTGATGATGATGATCACCAACATGCAGATGCAGATCAATATTATGATGGTGATGATGATGCTGATGATGATGATGATGGTGAAAATGATGCTGATGCTGATGATGACGATGATGTTGATGTTGATGCTGATGCCGCTGATGCTGCCGCTGGTGATGCTGTGCTGCTGATGATGATGACGATGATGATGATGCTGATGCTGTGGCGATGAGACGATGATGATGCTGATGCTGTCGATGATGATGACGATGCTGATGCTGACGATGATGATGATTATGCTGATGCGGATGCTGATACTGATGACGATGATGCTGATACTGATGACGATGATGATGATGATGATGGTGATGATGATGCTGATGATGATGATGATGATGGTGGTGGTGGTGAGGATGATGATGCTGATGGTGCTGATGATGATGTTGGTGTTGGTGGTGATGATGATACTGATGATGATGCTGATGATGATGCTGATTATTATTATGATGATGCTGATGATGCTGATGATGATGATGATGATGGTGCTGATGAAGACGATGATGGGGATGTTGGTGGTGGGTGTGGTGGTTCTTGTGGTGGGGGGAGGAGGAGCAGCAGAAGCAGGAACAAGAGGAGAAGGACGATTCACATGAGCAGGAACAGGGGGTATGGGAAGGGCTAACGGGAGAAGGTGAAGTGTGGAGGCCCCTGGAAGCCCTGGAAGGGCCCGCAGACGCCCCCAAACCCAGACCCTCGAGCCTCGAGCCTCGAGCATCGCTTTGCGGCGACGACGTCTACGTCGACGACAACGACGACGACCATGACTGCGACGGCGACGGTGTCCTCGACGGCGACGGCGACGGTGACCTCGACGGCGACGGCGGCGGCGACGGCGGCGGCGGCGGCGACGACTGCGCTCGAGCCGAGGCCGAACCTCCGCGTGTCTCCCGCCTGCCGCCGCAGGGGCCACGGGGCGCTGGCGCAGGCGGCGCGGCACAGGTACGGCTGCCGCATCGTGGAGCGGCTGCTTGAGCGCTGCCGGCCCGAGCAGGTCGGCGTCGTCGCAGGGCTCGTTTCGATATCTCCGATTCGATTCGATTCAACATCAACATCATCATGATCATCATCGTAGTCATCATCATCATCATCATCATCATCATCATCATCATCATCATCATCATCATCATCATCATCATCATCATCATTATCATCAGCATCAGCATCAGCATCAGCATCAGTATCATCATCGTTGGCTTTACGAGGGTCAGCTTATAGGGTGTATATACGAGACTTGTGAACTTTCCACATTGAGTCTTTCTTGCACCATTCAGCGCCGTTGAACGCTGTTTGTGCTGTCAGGGGCGATGTTCTGTACCAGTATTGGCGCACATTGTTCGGCCTCGTGCAAGTTGAACACTAATCATCATCATCATCATCATCATCATCATCAACATCATCATCATCATCATCATCATCATCATCATAATCATCATCATCATCATCATCATCACCACCATCATCATCATCATCACCATCACCATCACCATCACCATCACCATCACCATCACCATCACCATCACCATCACCATCACCATACAATCACCACCACCATCACCATCACCATCACCATCCTCATCCTCATCCTCATCCTCATCCTCATCCTCATCCTCATCCTCATCCTTATTCCCATCACATCCTTATCCTCCAGGGCTCATGTCGATTCCTCCGATTCGATTCGACTCGATTCCGATGGCCTCCGATGCCGATGCGATTCGGCTTCGGATGCCGACGTGGGCTTCGCTGTCTCGCTGGAGGCCTGCTCGCCTGCCGACTCGGCCCGACTCGGCCGCCGGTTTCCTCCGGTTCGATGTGCTTCGACTGCCGATCCTCGGGAAGGGGAGAAAACACACAGACAGAACTAATCGTCGACTCTGCAGAACGTATGGGCAAATATGGGAAGTGGGGGGAAGACACAGACCCAGAACATATGGGAACATGCGGGGAATCCTGTTATCTGTGTGTATTTGTTGGTGTGTCCCTCGGGGGTCTCCCGGGGTACTTTTCGTCTGGGGACCCCCAGGGGCGGCCCCGCGCGCGCGAACTAGAGTATTGTTGACCAGTTACCAGAGAGAGATCTTAGCACGCCCTTGGCCCGTTGGGCCGGCGAATTCTGTGTGTCCCAAGGCCCCTTCAGCTCCGACTCGTCGCTTCGATTCGGGGCTCTCCTGCCGCCGCCGACGCGCCCTCGTGGGCGTCGCCGCTGCCTGTGCGCCTGCACGTGCCCGGCCCCCCTCCTCGCGCTGTGGCAGCAGCCGCGGCGGGAGGCTGTCCGCTGCATGATGGGCCTCTGGGGGCCCCCGCCGGGCCTCGGGGGCCGTCAACAAAAGGCCTCAGGATGAGGAGCCCGTGCTGGGGAATCACCTTCCAAGGCGGGAGGTCTTTTGCTATTTTCGGCCTCCGGGGGCCCTGGCCAGGCCTCGGGGCCGTCAAAAAACGACTCGGCATGAAGAACCGGTCCTGGGGAAGGGGTCGAGACCTCCGGGGGTCAACGTTATGAAGAAAGCACAACGTCGGGAGTCTGGGTCAGAGTGACCTTTCGCCGGGGTGACCTTTGGTGCGGGCCCGTATGGGTCCCCCGATCGCCGAGCGCGATGCGACAGTAGCGTCTTGCGCCCTCGAGTTTGGTGCCCCCGCGGCCCTCCAAAAAGCCGTGCACCAAAGGTCATTCTTAGCCAGGATCACTCTTGCGTGTGGTCGACATTTGGATCGGGGAAACGTAAGACTCGAGTGCACCAGAGCTCGGGTCTGTCGACGCTTTTGACGAGCGCGTCCTTGATTTTGACGGTCCAGTCTTCGTGGGATATCTGCAGCGGGAGTTCTCGTCAGTTTTCAGACTGGGGCTCGTCATTTTCATGATGGCCCCGTTAGGCCAACCCGAGTCCCCCGAACCCGAGTCTTACGTCTCCCCGATCGGAGGAGGGCGAGGATGGCGATGACGATTTTTGCCGCTACACTTCTCTGCCCTGCGGACAGTCAGGCAGCCGTCGAGCACGGCACGTGAAACGCGGCCCGGCACAGAGAGTCACGCACGCCGAGCGGGCCCCAGCATTGCAGACCACAGCCGACGCAGGTGCCCTCGGTGGCCGGGCCAGGAGGCTGATCCTCGGACAGGCGTTGGTCGAAGAGCCCTGCAGGTTCTCACTCCTGTCTGCCAGCCATCCATCGGCGCTGGCAACTGGGGGTTCGGGTTTTTCGTTCCTCGCGCGCGCGCGCGCGTCGGTCGGTCGCTCCGCCCATTCCTCCCGCCGCAGATTCCGTCTGCCGTCGAGCTAGGAACTGTCGCTCTTCGGGTGCTCGTCAGCGCAGATATCGTTCCAATAATGTTTGGACGAGCGAGGGCAGTGCGGCTTCCCATGGTTTCGGCGATGGGGATGCCGCTCATACACCTGATGCAGCTCATCCACCTGATGCACATACCGAGTGCAGAGCCACTAGGACAGGACAGCGCGATGCACTCGGGGCCAAGGCTCTATGAGCTTGGTGTCATCGAGCTTGTGCGCCTTCCTGCAACTGTTGTTGGGAGGGGCAGCGCGAGTGCGTCGGCCCCAGACGCTGCTCGCCCTGCCAGCAACCGTCCCTCCAAGACCCAAAAGTGGCAGGCTTTTGGCACGGGGACAGCAGGCTCCCGAGGGTCTCTGGTGGCCTGGGACGGGCCACAAGGAGGCCACAGCGGGAGCAACCTGGCGTTGATGACGATGATGATGATGATGATGATGATGATGATGATGATGATGATGATGATGATGATGATGATGATGACAATGATGATGCTGATGATGAGGATTGTGATGATGATGCTGACTACGATGATGATGAGGATGATGGTGATATTGATCTTGGTGATGATGATGATGGTGCTGCTGATATTCATGATGATGGTGATGCTGATGTTGTTGATGATGATGATGCTTATGACGCTGATGATGATGCCGATGATGATGATTATGATGGTGGCGATGATGATGACGATGCTGGTGATGATGATGCTGATACTGATGCTGATGCTGATGGTGATGGTGATGGTGATGGTGGTGAGAATGATGCTGATGATGATACTGATGCTGCTGATGATGCTGCTGCCGCTGATGCTGATGCTGATGCTGATACTGATGATGCTGACGATGCTGATGATGATGCTGCTTGTGATGATGTTGCTGATGCTGATGATGACCATGCTGATGATGCTGATGAGGGTGATGCTGATGATGCTGCTGATGACGCTGATGATGACGCTGATGCTGATGATGCTGCTGATGATGAGTTTGACGGTGACAATGCTGATGAAGCTGCTGCTGCTGACGATGATGATGCTGATGCTGATGATGATGCTGATGCTGAGCATGGCGATGCTGCCTATGTCGAAGCTAATCATGATGCTGATGCTGCTGACGATACTGATGCTTATTATGTTGATGATGATGCTGCTGATGCTGATGATGATGTTGATGATGATGGTTATGGTGATGGTGATGATGATGATGAAGAGGATGATGATGATGCTGATGATGATGATGATGATACTGATGATGATCATGATGATGCTTATGATGATGCTTATGATGATGATGATGATGATGATGATGATGATGATGATGATGATGATGATGCTGATGATGCTGATGATGATGATGATGATGCTGATGCTGATGATGATGATGATGATGATGATGATGATGATGATGATGATGATGATGCTGCTGATGATGATGATGATGATGATGATGATGTTGATGATGTTGTGGGTGATGATGGTTGGCCAATGCGGAAGTTGTGAAGATGGTCAGGATGTTCACATGTTGACGGTGCTATCTGTTTGTCGATGACACTGCTGCTGCTGCTGCTGCTGCTGAAGCTGAGGAGGATGGGAGGGGAGGAGGAGGAGGATGAGGAGGAGGAGGAGAGGGAGGAGGAGGAGGAGTTGGAGGAGGAGGAGGAGGGAGGAGGAGAGGAGGAGGAGGTGACGGGAGCGGAGGAGGAGGAGCAGGAGGAGGAGGAGGTGGAGGAGGAGGAGGAGGAGGAGAGGAGGAGGAGGAGGGGGCGGGAGGGGTAGGAGGGTGAGGAGGGGGGAGGACGCGAAGGAGGCGGAGGATGCGGACAAGGAGGAGGAAGAGAGGAGGAGGAGGAGGAGGAGGCGGAGGAGGAGGGGGGGAGGGGGGGAGGAGGCGAGGAGGCGGAGGAGGAGGAGGCGGAGGAGGAGGAGGAGGAGGAGGGAGGAGGAGGAGGAGGAGGAGGAGGAGGAGGAGGGGGGGAGGAGGCAGAGCAGGAGGAGGAGGTGGAGGAGGAGGTGAGGGAGGAATACAAATGATAATACTAATAATATTCATGATACTCATTCGAATTAACCGGAGAAAACCTCAATCAGTGGATGATCTGAAAATTAGTCATGGATTTCGAGATCGATTGTGAGATCGATCATGAGATCGACAGTGGAGTCGATAGAGGACGATTGTAAGGTCGATTGTGAGACTGATATTGAAATCGATTCAATGAGATCGATAGGGAGATCGATCGCGAGATCGCTCGTGCGATCTCCAGTGAGATCGCTTGAGAGATCGATTGTGAGATCGATGGTGAGATCGTTAGAGAGGTGGGACATGAGATCGATGCTGAGACCGATCGATGGTGAGATCGACCAGGAACCCGGGAACCTGGGAACCTCGCCGCCCACCGAAATCGGCCCGGGAACCGGGAACCCGGGAACCCGGGAACCCAGCGTGCGACCAAAATCGGCGGGAAGTTTTCGCCAAATCCTTCAACCTCCGCTAGGACCCTTTCAGTGTAAGCACTGATTGGGGAACCTCCGCTAGGACTCCTTCCGTGCAATCACTGATTCGGGAATAAGAATATTACACTTGAGAAAACCTCAATCTGCGAATGATATGAAAATTAGTCATATGGATCTTGAGATCGATTGTGAGATCGATCATGAGATCGATGGTGGAATCGATAGAGGACGATTGTAAGGTCGATTGTGAGACCGATATTGAAATCGATTCAATGAGATCGATGGGGAGATCGATCGCGAGATTGCTCGTGCGATCTCTAGTGAGATCGCCTGCGAGATCGATTGTGAGATCGATTGTGAGATCGATGGTGAGATCGACAGAGAGTTGGGAAATGAGATCGATGCTGAGACCGATCGATAAGAGGATCGACCAAAAGCCGGGAACCTGGGAACCTCGCCGCCCACCGAAGTCGGCCCGTGAACCAGGAACCCGGGAACCCAGCGTGCGACCAAAATCGGCGGGATTTTTTGCCAAATCTTTCAACTTCCGCTAGGACCCCTTCAGTGCAAGCCCTGATTGGGGAACTAACACGAATAATACGATTGCACCTAAGAAAACCCCAATAGTTTGATGAATTGAAAATTGATACTATGGGTCTTGAGATCGATTGTGAGATCGATAATGAGATCGATCGTGGAATCGATAGTGAGGACGATTGTAAGGTCGACTGTGAGACCGATATTGAAATCGATTCAATGAGATCGATGGGGAGATCGATCGCGAGATTGGTCGTGCGATCTCTGGTGAGATCGCTTGTGAGATTGACAGTGAGGTCGATTGTGAGATCGATGGTGAGATCGATCGAGAAGTCGGTAATGAGATCGATGGTGAGATCGATCGATAAGAAGTTTGACCAGGAACCCGGGAACCTCGCCGCCCTCCGAAATCGGCCCGGAACCCGGAACCGGGAACCCGGGAACCCATAACCGGGAACCCAGGAACCCAGCCTGCCACCAACATCGGCGGGGATTTTTTGCCAAATCCTTCAACATCCACTAGGACACCTTCAGTGCAAGCGTTGATTGGGGAAATATTACGAAGAAAGATATTACGAATAATAAGAAGAGTAATAATGGTATTCATTAGACGAATGATACGAATAATACTAATAAGACGAATGTTACTAATACGAAAATCGAAGGATGTACGAATACTAAGATGGCTGATTATATTTCGATGAAGAAGAATCATACGCTGATTATGTCATACGCTGATTATGAAGAATAAGAGCGCGAAGAACACGAATAAACAATTATTTAATCGCTTCGCTCATTCCGCCGGCCCTGGGCCTCTTTGGGCCGTCTTGGGGGCCTCTTGGGGGCTTCTTGGCGGCGTCTTGGGCTCCCTGGGGCCTCTTGGGGGGCTCTTGGGGGCCCCTTGGGGCGGGAGGGGGGGTAGTCGATTGCAGCCACCCCCTCGGAGGCCACGATCCTCGTGAGGGGTGGGGAGAAATAGCCTCCCCCCTGGGGATCGCCCGGGACCGGCCGGGACCCGGCCGGGGGTCAGCCGGGGGCCGCCCCGCGCGCGCGAACTAGAAATATTGTTAAGTAGTTACCGGAGATCTTAGCACGCCTCTGGCCCGTTGGGCCGGCGAATTTCGAATAATGCGACGAAGATGAATCATATTATTCAGACTAGTAATACTAATGCTACAAAATATGAGTATTAAGAATAATACGGATAATACTTATAGGAAGAGGACTAAGAAGATGAGGAGGAGGAGGCGGAGGCGGAGGCGGAGGTGGAGGCGGAGGAGGAGGAGGAGGAGGATGAGGAGGAGGAGGAGAAGGAAGAGGAGGAGGGGGAAGAGGAGGCGGAGGCGGAAGCGGAGGCGGAGGCGGAGGAGGAGGAGGAGGCGGAGGAGGAGGCGGAGGCGGAGGAGGAGGACGAGGAGGAGGAGGAGGAGGAGGAGGAGGACCGCGCACGCTCGGGTAGGTGGAGCAGATCGTTGACTGCATCCTGGACGACGCCGTGACCCTCTGCATGCACCCGTACGGCAATTACGTGGCCCAGCATCTCCTCGAGCACGCCGCCCCAGCCGCCGCGGTCGCGTCGGCCGCCCCCGGGGTGTCAGAGGGGGTCCCAGGCCTTTGATCAGATGAGCAACACGTCATGGTACAGTGCATCCTGGTTGCCTCCAGGGTGCCCTGGGTTTCCTGAGTTTCGATGGTTTTGCTGTGGAAAGCGTGACGCTCCCACACCAAAAGTCAATGGACGTCCTGGGGTCTCAGGGTTGGGTTTCTTGTGGAAGGTTCCTTGTGGTCGAGCCCCCACTGTACTGATACGTTTCCAGCTTCCCTCAAGTTTCCGACAGTGCCTACTCCTCCGCGCGGGCTGCAGACACGTACCCATCGGTCGTTGGAAGGTCGTCGTTTTCTTGTTGATTGTCATGCCGATCGGCGCGGGCCCTCGCACACCCCGCTCCCCCCCCGGTGGAGTCGATCTTGATTGTTTCTGGCGCCTGTTTCGAGCAGGTGGAACCCCTCCCCCATAGGACGCACTGTTGCAAACAGTCGCATTAAGCAGAGGTCCGGAGCCAGACCTGGGATTCGGGACGCACCTCCCGAGGCAGAGTGTTTTGAGGAAACACGTCGGTCAGTGGAGGAAAAGGTGCCGCTACTGCTATCCTTGCCTCGTTTTCGCCTTCGCTGGCCTCCCGGGAGGCACTGCTTGATTCGCTTCACAGTTCTGGTGAGAACGCACCCCTGGAGAGGTCTGGTTTGCCCAGTCGGGAGTGGACAAGGAGGAGGAGGAGGAAGAGTAGGAGGAGGAGGAGGAGGAGGAGGAGGAGGAGGAGGGAGGAGGAGGAGGAGGAGGAGAAGAGGGGGGAGGGGGAGGAGGGGGAGGAGGGGAGGAGGAGGAGGAGGAGGAGGAGGAGAGGAGGAGGAGGAGGCGGAGGAGGAGGAGGAGGAGGAAAAGGAGGAGGAGGAGGCGGGGGAGGAGGAGGAGGAGGAGGAAGAGGAGGAGGCGGAGGAGGAGGAGGAGGAGTCTGGTCTTGCTGGCCTGGGGAGCCCCTCGGACCCTCGAGGGCGGCCCACCCGGACCACGGCCCCAGAGCGCCGGGATCGCCTCGCCAAGGTGCTGGCGGCGCGCCAAAGGGGTGGGGTATGTGGGCGAGGGGGCGGCTTGCTAGGATCAGGCGATCGCAAAAAATGGGCGTGGATTAGCGACGGGTTCCGTTTCCATGGGAAATCGCGTATTTCCGCCGCCGAGCGAAGCCGCACTGGCCGCATTTGGGGAGGGCACTTCCCCCGATCCATGCTTGCGCGCGCCCGATAGGAGGGCGGATGCCTTCTCGAGGTACGGCAGGTTCGCGCCGTAACGACTGGCGACGGCCCCGCACCTGGCGTTCAACGCTGAACGCCGCCAGCGACCAAGAATCGGCCGATGCTGAACGATCTGGCGTTTCGGAAACGACCGATCGTGTATGGTTGGGCGTTCCCCGCGCCGTCTGGGGCCAACTATAGGGTCGGCACGATCCGTGGCCATTTTGGCTCAAGGTTCTAACCTGCCCTGGGGCTAGAGCCTTGTTGCAGGCGACAGGGAGGCCCTAGTCTCCTGAGGTCAGGCCTCATCTTTTCCCCACTACGACCCCTGCGTGAGCTTTCACTGCCTTGCAGGAAGGTTTTCGGCCACTTTCTCATTACGGTTCGGATAACACCAGTGTCTCCGATGCCTGTTGCGGATGGAGCTGTCCGAGGGGTCAAGAAGCCGACAAAGTCGGCCTCACGGTCCCTTTCGCGCCGCGCAGCGATGAAGGAGTCATCTGAGAGTTGCAACCCTACGCGTTCGCCTCAGAGGTTCTCCATGAGCCCTGAGAGTCGCTCGCGCCGCCCGAGTACTGACTCGAGCTTGCGCAACTCTGATCGCACACGCATTTGGAGCAGCAGGGGTGACCCTGATGACGAGGATGCTGCTCCAGCCCGTCCCCCGAGCTGGATGCAGCAGCTGATTGGAAGTATCCAGGCCTCGAAGTCGCATTTAGGTGATGGAGCGGAACTTTGCCCAGGATGTGCAGGTTCTCCAAAACGCCATCGCGACCACGGACAAGAACGTTCACAGCCTCAACACGCGCATCCAGAACATGGAGTTGACCAGCACCGCTACCATCCAGGATGCAGTGGCGGCCGCGGTTGACATCGACGCAACCATCGCCGAGCTCCAGAGTACACCGACACCGCGTTCATCTGTTCCGATTCGTCGCGTTGGGAGTGGCGGTCCCCATCCTGAGGCCAAGCACGACGCTATGGAACGTGTCCATCGTGTGATTCTTGTCGGCTTCCTTCGGAGAGTGATGCAGGCCTCGTTGAGGCGTGCGGCGGGTATTGTCATCACGGCTGGCATTCCACATGATCGCCCACGCCCGATTGTGCGCACGTATGACATGACTATGTAGATCATGTTTGATTTTGCGGACTCAACCAAAGCCTCGGACTGCCATAACATGCTGAGTACCGTCGCCTCATCGCCTTCCCCGACTCGATCTACCCCCAGCAGCAGATCATGCTCCGGGCCAAGAGGGACATGGCGCCCGGCACCCGCGTTCTCTTCTTGGCCATGGGCAAGGTTTGGGGTGCCCTTGCTGCCGTCATGCAACAAGCTGGCAAAGACATGGATCTATCGGGCTTGGTGGAGATGTATCTGTCCTTCGCTCGTCTGGGGATCCTGTTCAGCTCTGCCACGTCGACTTAGTGACTAGCGAGTCTGACCTGCCCCAGGTTGCCATCACTTCTTTCCCTGAGCAATTCGCTGAATTCCATCAGCTGGTCTCCCCCCTCCTCCCGGCCTGTTTAGAGGAGAATGCGACGGGCCTCAGGCTGCGGGAGCGGCGACAGAGGCACCTTCAGAAGTGCGTCCCAACGCTGCGAGCCTGGATGTCGCCCCTCCTTGCCTCTCTAGCCAATGAGATGACTCTGGTCAGGTGGTCTGTTAGACTGAAGATGTGCCTCTGCTTCCGTCTTGTGCTCTTCCTGCTAGTGCCTTTGTCGCTTGTCTTGGCAGTGACCGGAGTCCTGTGCAGATGTCTGTTTCCACGGTCAGGGCCCGCCCCTTCTCCCCCCCCTCGCCGATGAAGATTGGTTCTTGGAGTACTGCTGCCCTTATTGCCGCTGTTCGGGCCAGTACGAACGCTGCCCCGCGCATTGCTCGGTTTCTGAAACTCGCGAAGCAACTCGCGGTATTTTGCATTTAAGAAACCCACGGACAAGTTTCAGATATGAACCAGTTTCGGCGAGAACTTCGGCATTTCGAGATCGGCCACTTTCTGTTTCCTGATTCGTCCGCTGCTGGTGGCGTCATCAGTTGTATCCAGCCTGCCATTGCTAAGCTCTTTACCTCTATTACTCACCCGAGTGTCATCGAAGGTCGCATCCTCAAGTCTTACCTCTCTGGGCCCCTTGGGAACCTCTGTATTATCAACGCACGCATGCCGAACACCAATGAGCTTACGAGTATTTATTCGAATGCTATCCGTTCCGTCCTTCGTGCCCTCCATAGCCCTGCTGAGTGTTTCGCTATCTTGATAAGGGGGTTGAAATTCTTGACGCTTCGCGTGCCCCCACCAGCCCATCCAAAAACGATGCCCAGGCGAATTGCGGGGATCAGGGAAGTGAGGGAGCATGCAGAGTAGCAAAGGGCTGGGGGACCCGTCTTACCCAAGAGGGCGAGGATGGAGGAGGAGTCGGAGGAGGATGAGGAGGAGGAGGAAGAGGAGGGGGAGGAGGGGCAGCAGGTGGGAAAAGTGGGAGGAGGGAGGAGGGAGGAGGGGGAATAGGCGGATGATGAGGAGGAGGGGGAGGAGGAGGAGGAGGATGAGGAGGGGGGGGGGAGAGAAGAGGAAAGGAGGAGGATGAGGACGAGGCTGATCAAGTGGAGGGGAAGGAGGAGGAGTAGGCCGACAAGGAGGAGGAGGAGGAGAAACATGAGAAGGAACAAGAACAATGACGTGCACAAGAGCCTCCTGGGATGTTATTTGGAAGTTGTTTTAGGATCCTCTTGGAGCGCCTGGGGGATCCTTGGATGCCTCGGGGATCCTCTTGAGGCCTCTTGGGGGTCTAGGGAGCCTCTTCAGGGCCTCTTGGGGACCTCTTGGGGCCTCCTGGGCGCCTCTTGAGGCCCTGTTGGGGCGCTCTTGGGAGCCTTGGGAGCGCTCCTGGGGCCATCTTGGAGGTGATCGATCAAAGGAAGGGGGTCCCCCAATTAGCGTCCCCCCTCGGGAGCCTCTAAAATCGGCCAACACTTTTTAGTAAAACCGATGATATGGGCTTCCTCGCCGAGGCCGTTTTGGACGCTCCAACTACCAGCGGAATCCCCCGTCCAACTCCAGGGGAGGGGGTTAGGGGGAGGGGTAACTCCCTTCCCGAAAGGGGAAGAAGGGAAGATGGAAGACGACACTCCCTAAACCACCTACGCCCGGAGGGCTGGTGGGACTTCGCGCTCTCTTCCGACGGTCGGCTCAGGGCCGATGGCAGTGGGTGGTCGCCAGGGGATGTCAATCGCACATCGCGTTTTCATCGTCGTGTGTTTTGTTTTTGTTGTTTTTTTTCTCCCTTGGGTTGAGTTTTACCCGTGTGAGGATGCGAGGACGGGGGTCTGGAATGGTGCCACTACCAATGCAGCTAGACTGGACCGTGCGTGCAGCGCGCTTCCCCATGCTGTGGTGTCCGATCTCACCATTGTAAGCGAGGCGCTCGGGCCCCTGAAGGTTGACATGGCTTTTGACCACATCCCGATTGTTGTCTCGATCGACACCTTCAAGCCCAAAGATGCTCCCAAGCGCCTGGCTCCCTGGAGTGCTCGGCACCCGCTGTTTTCTGATCTTCTGGGCGGTGCCATCCGCGCGCTCCCTGGCGGTGGCCCGTGGGCCCGGCTTGCTGAAACCAGATCCGTGATGCTTGAAGTTGCTGAGGAGGCCAAACGGATCGTTAGCGCGAATGTTGCTGACAATATTGAATCTAAACATAATCGCGCCCTGCAAGCCCTGCGCGCCTGGCGCGCAGGCGACTCTTTCAAGCTTGGGATTGCCATCGCCGCGTGCCCAGCGCTGGCTCAGCACCTCCCTGCCGGCCTTCAGGAGGCTCGGTGCGATGCACTTCGCCGTCGCGTTCAGAGTCTTTACAACTCTCTACTGTCTGCTGAAGAGGATGAGCTCAACCAGGCTAGTGAGGCTGACCCCAGACCTGGGCACTGGCCCAGGCTCTTTCAGGGCTCCGTGGGACCCCCCTGCCGACGGCGAGGACAATGCTCGGCGGAAGTTGGCGGCCAGGACGGAGCTTTGGCGGAAGATGAAGCGCCGCGCGTGGCTCCAAGGGACTGCGTCGGCTTCTGGAGACTTTCGCAACACAGAAGAGGAGTCTGCACGTGCCCTCCAAGACCTCTGGAGTGCTTTCTTTGGGGTTACCGCGGATGACGAGCCCCTCTGGCCCGAGCTGCTTGACTTTGTGCCGAAGTTGTCTGATGTCCCTGAGGGTATAGATGAGGATGGTAGAGCGCGGGTGGATGATGAATGAGTACGATTGGTTACCGATGATCAGGGGGAGGAAGGATTGCATGCCTGGGGAGGATGGGATTCCATTCTCGGCCTGGAGGGCCTGCTGCTGGGGCGCTTCTCTATGAATGTTACCGGGCCTTGTTTCGGAACCCCCGGGCTGGCACCCTTGATGATATGACGCGAAGTCGAGTGGTTTTCCTACCCAAAAAGATCATGCATCAGGAGGTGGGGGAAGGGGTCTATCGTGAACCAGCTATCACCCGTCCACTTAGCATGACCAATACTGACGCGAAGCTCTTCTCGGTCTCAATGGCCATGCTACTCGCCCGACAGATTGCGCGGCATTGTCTGCTTCAGTCTCCGCAGAAGTGTTATCGCGGTCGCGATATGCTTGCGAATGCGATGGAGGCAGAAAGCTTTCTGATAGAGCAACACCTCCGTGATCTGTATAGTCAGTAACAAGTAGTTGGCACAATCGTTATCCAGCACGTGCTATACCACGCGTCGCGCCAACCTCAGACAACAACGCCATATGGGACTTTTTTGTTCGGAGCTAAACGTCGGTTACAGGCCATTCTTCGAAATTGCAGCTCGGAATTTCACGAGCCAGTTGCGTTGGCAATTTCAATTGCTTCGGTAATTCGTCGAGTTGTTGTTTGTATTCTTTTGGCACGCACTTGCAGTGGGGAGGGATTTTGATATGATATTTTACGCGTCGGGTCACATCGGGCGCCTCGGGAGGGAGTAGATAGCACCCCCTGGGGAAAAAAAAAAAAGGGGGCGAAGGGGGGGGGGGGGGGGGATAGCGCGCGAGCAGGGCGGGGGCCGCCCAGGGCGTCGCGCAGGGCGCGAGGGCGCGGGCCTCGAGGTGTGCTATCTGCGTGGGCGTACCCTCCCTCCTTCCCTCATGCGTGCTATCTGCGCGGGCGTCTACGCGTGCGCGCCAGCGCCGCGTGGGCGCGGGCCGCGCCACAGGCGGTGCGACCCGCGCAGCGGGCATCTCGGGGCCGCCCTGGGGCCGCCCAGCGGGCATCTTGGGGCTGTCTTGGACCAGTCCTGGGCCGTCTTAGAGCTATCTTGTTGCCGACTTGGGCGTCTGGGGCCCTAGGGAACTTACAGAAACTCTTCAGTGCATGAGGCGATGGGGGGGGGGGGGGGGGGGCGATGGGGGGCGAGGAGGGCGCGAGGGCGCGGGCCTTAAGGTGCGCTATCTGCGCGAGCGTTGTGCTCGGGCCCGGGCCACGAACCACGCTTGAACGTCGACGTCCCAGGAACGGGAAGTTGGTGCCCTCCCCATGGCCCATGCCCCATGCCCCGTGCCTCCTGCCCTGCCCGCTGCCATCGCCACTCGAGCTTGTTTGTTTCAGCAGCTGCGCAGCCAGAGTAGCTGACTCAGCAGTTCAGTCGCGGCGGCCATGGCGGCTGCCACCAGCGGCTGCAGCGCCCAGGGCTGCTCTGCTCCCAGCTTGAGCACCGCTGCGCCCGGCAGCTGCGCGGACGACGGCGCGATGCCTTTCGCGCCGCCGATGGTCGCCGAGGACATCATTCCGCTCACGCCGCCGATGGGCGCGGAGGACGAGGACGCCATTCCTTTCGCGCCGCCCATGGAGGAGAGCGCCGAGGAGCGGGGCGGCTTCGCGGCGGCGGCTGCCCCCCGCAGGCGAGGGCGCGCTTCCTCGCACGCCGCCCACGATCGCCGAGGAGCGGCGCGGCGTCGCGGCGGCGGCTACGACACCCCCCAACGACCTGGGCGACTTCGAAGGGTTCGGCGATGGCGTCGACTCCGAGGACATGGATTACTACGATAACCAGGACTGGGAGTGGATGGTGGATCGGACCGAACGAACGGGGGGGATAGGACAAGGAGGGGGGTGCGAAATCTGCTGCATGCAGCTGGTTTCGGCCCCGCCGCCAAGCCCATTCCTCGATGCACGGGCGCCCCCCGGCGCCGGGGGGCGCCGCGAAAATTATAGTCAGCGCCAGGTAGCTGGCGCAATCGCTATCCAGCGCGTGCTATCTGAGGCGTCGCGCCAACTTCTGACAAAAACGCCATATAGGACAAAAGCGACAAACCGCTAATTGCACCTTGGACGGCTTGTGCTAACTACTTGTTACTGACTATAGTTGCGTGAGCCGATTCCCCCCCCCCTTTTTGCTATCGCCCCTTTTCGCCCGGCCCGGGCGGAGGTGGAGGCGCTGGATGGGATGCATCGCCGCGAGGAGGCGCAGGTCGCAGCGCTTCGCATGGCAAGGGCCGCATCGTTTCGTCGCGCAGCGGAACAAGAAGTGCTGACCCGCAAGCGCATCAGGGAGGAAGAGGAGGAGAAGGCGCCCGTGGACGAGTTGATGGGGCGGCCAGCGCCGCGGTGGTGGGCCCCGCCCTTCCGCGGGCGCCAGATGGCCTCAGCGACTGCGACAGCCTCGACTCGACGATCGCGTGCGCGGACGCGAAGTTCGAGCTCGCGGAGAAGCAGCGGGCTACAATTGACATGCTGGAGGGGCTGCATCGCCGCGAGGAGCGCAGGGGGCAGGCCGCGAGGCGGCTGAGGCGCGCTCTCGACCTGCAGCAGATGAACCAGCAATGGTGCGAGGCTGAGCGCCGCGCGACGCAGGCCGCGCAGGCCGACTTGGTCCCGCAGTAGGTGCTGTGGCATTGGCCATTGGCATCAGCTCTTCAGGCACTAGTTGTAGTATTTTGAATCGGGCAGAAGGCCTAGAGAGCCTTGGGCATTGCGCCTCTTGACCCTTGAGACTGTGTCATTTCGCAAATTCACCAACCAGGTGGACCATCCCTGCTGCCAGCTGCCAGCTGTTACTTTTTCCGTCTGCTGGCTGCCCATTGCATGTGGCATGTATACTGTGCCCATGGCATATGGCCCTGTCTGCCTGTGGCGCGTGGCTTGTGCAGCCACCCAGCCACTGGAATCCTTATTTCGGACGCTGCAAAGTTGAGGGCGCTCCCCTCGCCTCTCCATGGAGGCCCTGGGGCCACTCCATTGCAGGGAGTCGCGCTTTCGAGCTTTCGAGCTTTCGTGTTTCCGTGTGCGCGTACAGTCATATGTAGTATGTAATTTAGGATTTAGGTTTCGTCGGCGTCGAACGATCGGTTCGGAGCACCATGTGTAACATTCGGCCCGCATGTCGTCATAATCAAGATCACCATCTCCCCTGTCGTCGGCCATCGTCGTCGTGTCAGCATCGGATCGCCATCGTCATCGTTATCGCCATCGTCGTCGCCATCGCATCGCCACGGGGTCTTCCTGCCTCGGCAGGCCTGCCGGCAGAGGCGCCTCGCCGAGCGTGCTCTGGGGGTGCCCAGAGCCTCCCGAGGGGCCGCTGGGGATCCGAACTGTGGCGGAAATTTATATAAACACGACCGCCGACTGGAGGGTCAGTTTTCGGGGACTTCGGCAGGAGATATCGGGCGCCTCGGGAGGGAGTAGATAGCACGCCCTGGGAAGGAGGAGGCGGGGGAGGGAGGGGGGGGGCACGGCGAGGTCCCGCTCAGATCCGCGCGGTGCCTCACTCCGCAGGACCCACCAGCAGCCCTCGAAAGTGGCGACCGTTTGGCAGATCGCAGCCCCCCAGGCACGGCGAGGTCCCGCTCAGATCTGCGCGGTGCCTCACTCCGCAGGACCCACCAGCAGCCTTCGAGAATGGCGGCAGTTCCGCAGATCGCAGCCCCCACAGGGACTGCGAGGTCCCGCTCAGATCCGCGCGGTGCCTCACTCCGCAGGACCCACCAGCAACCCACGAACGTGGCGACAGTTTCGCAGATCGCAGCCCCCCAGGCACGGCGAGGTCCCGCTCAGATCCGCGCGGCGCCTCACTCCGCTGGACACACCAGCAGCCCACGAACGCGGCGACAGCTTCGCAGATCGCAGCCTCCCAGGGACGGCGAGGTCCCGCTCAGATCCGCGTAGCGCCTCACTCCGCATGACCCACCAGCAGCCCTCGAAAGTGGCGGCCGTTTCGCAGATCGCAGCCCCCCAGGGACGGCGGCCTGGTTCCGCTCAGATCCGCGCGGTGCCTCACTCCGCATGATCCACCAGCAGCCCTCGAACGTGTTGACAGTTTCGCAGATCGCAGCCCCACAGGGACGGGGAGGTCCCGCTCAGATCCGCGCGGTGCTTCACTCCGCAGGACCCACCCGCAGCCCTCGAAAGTGGGGAGAGTTTCGCAGATCGCAGCCCCCCAGGGACGGCGAGGTCCCGCTCAGATCCGCGCGGTGCTTCACTCCGCAGGACCCACCAGCAGCCCTCGACAGCGGCGACGGTTTCGCAGATCGCAGCCCCCCAGGGACGGGCAGGTCCCTCTCAGACCCGCGCTGGGCTTCACTCCGCGGGACCCACCAGCAGCCCTCGAAAGTGGCGACGGTTTCGCAGATCGCAGCCCCCCAGGGACGGCGAGGTCCCGCTCAGATCCGCGCGGTGCCTCACTCCGCAGAACCCACCAGCAGCCATCGAAAGTGGGACAGTTTCGCAGATCGCAGCCCCCCAGGCACGGCGAGGTCCCGCTCAGATCCGCGCGGTGCCCACCAGCAGCACTCGACAGCGGCGACAATTTCGCAGATCGCCTCACCCCGGGGACGGGGAGGTCCCGCTCAGATCCGCGTAGTGCCTCACTCCGCATGACCCACCAACAGCCCTCGAGCGTGGTGACAGTTTCGCAGATCGCAGCCCCCCATGGACGGCGAGGTCCCGCTCAGATCCGCGCGGTGCCTCACTCCGCGGCACCCGCCAGCAGCCTTCGAAAGTGGCGACAGTTTCGCAGATCGCAGCCCCCCAGGCACGGCGAGGTCCCGCTCAGATCTGCGCGGTGCCTCACTCCGCTGGACCCGCCAGCAGCCCTCGAAAGTGGCGAGAGTTTCGCAGGTCGCAGCCCCCCACGGGGACGGCGAGGTCCCGCTCAGATCCGCGCGGTGCCTCCTCCGCAGGACCCACCAGCAGCCCACGAACGTGGCGACAGTTTCGCAGATCGCACCCCCCAGGCACGGCGAGGTCCCGCTCAGATCCGCGCGGTGCCTCACTCCGCGGCACCCACCAGCAGCCTTCGAAAGTGGCGACAGTTTCGCAGATCACAGCCCCCCAGGGACGGGGAGGTCCCGATCAGATCCGCGCGTTGCCTCACTCCCCAGGGCCCACCAGCAGCCCTCGAAAGTTGCGACAGTTTCGCAGGTCGCAGCCCCCCCAAGGACGGCGAGGTCCCGCTCAGATCCGCGCGGTGCCTCACTCCGCAGGGCCCACCAGCAGCCCTCGAACGTGGCGACAGTTTCGCAGATCGCAGCCCCCCATGGACGGCGAGGTCCCGCTCAGATCCGCGCGGTGCCTCACTCCGCTGGGCCCACCAGCAGCCCTCGAGCGTGGCGACAGTTTCGCAGATCGCAGCCCCCAAGGGACGGGGAGGTCCCGCTCAGATCCGCGCGGCGCCTCACTCCGCAGGACCCACCAGCAGTCCTCGAAAGTGGCGACGGTTTTGCAGATCGCGCCCCCCCCCCCCCAAGCACGGCGAGGTCCCGCTCAGATCCGCGCGGTACCTCACTCCGCAGGACCCACCAGCAGCCCTCGAAAGTGGCGACAGTTTCGCAGATCGCAGCCCCCCAGGGACGGCGAGGTCCCTGCTCAGATCCGCGCGGTGCTTCACTCCGCTGGACCCGCCAGCAGCCCTCGCAAGTGGTGACAGTTTCGCAGGTCGCAGCCCCCCAGGGACGGCGACCACAGGGGGGGCGGGAGGAGGACGTGACCACACCCCTCTATTCAAAACGAATACCCAATCAAGGAGGGTTGGGAACAAAACCACACCTCTCGGAGTCGTGTTATTTCTTTTTTGTAGAATCCCCACCAACTCGCCTACACCCTCTCTAACTCTTGCTTTGTCCTATGTAGAACTCTTGATTTGTTCTATGTAGAACCCCCAACCCCCCCAATCCTTACCAACTCTTACCTTCTTCATTGGTGACGTTAAACTTTTTGTTTCCCTGTAGAATCGTCAGAATTTCCAAAATCCTTACCTAAACGACCACCCTTCGGGTGATAAGGAGGTGAGGGGGGGGGGGGAGGGACCAACGTCGCACTCGATCGATCTCACTCTCGATATCACTATCGATATCACTATCGATCTCACATTCGGTCTCACTATCGATCTCACTATCGATATCCCATTCGGTCTCACTATCGATTTCCCTATCGATCTCACATTCGGTATCACTATCGATCTCACTATCGATCTCACGATCGATCTCACAATCGATCTCACATTCGGTTTCACTATCGATCTAACTATCGATCTCACTATCGATCTCACAATCGATCTCACATTCGGTCTCACTATCGATCTCATTATCGATATCACAATCGATCTCACAATCGATCTCACAATCGGTCTCACCATCGATGTTACTATCGAATTCACATTCGGTCTCACTATCGATCTCATTATCGATATCACTATCGATCTCACCATCGATCTCACATTCGGTCTCACTATCGATCTCACTATCGATATCACTATCGATCTCACATTCGGTCTCACAATCGGTCTCACCATCGATATCACTATCGATCTCACATTCGGTCTCACTATCGATCTCATTATCGATATCACAACCGATCTCACAATCGATCTCACTATCGATCTCACAATCGATCTCACAATCAATGTCACTTTCGGTCTCACTATCGGTTTTACCATCGATATCACAATCGATCTCACAATCGGTCTCACATTCGGTCTCACTATCGATATCACATTCGGTCTCTCTATCGATATCATCATCACCATCATCATCAGCACCATCATCATCATCATCATCATCATCATCATCATCATCATCATCATCATCATCATCATCATCATCATCATCATCAACATCAACATCATCATCATCGGGACACCGGCGGGGCACCGACGGGACACCAGCGGGACACCGGCGGGACACCGCGCGCCACCGGCCGCCCGGTGGAGAATCATTTGGTCCGGCCGCGCCTCAGCCACAGAGGACACCACCGGGACACCGGCGGGACACCGCGCGCCACCGGCCGCCCGGTGGAGAATCATTTGGTCCGGCCGCGCCTCAGCCACAGGAGACTTTCCTCTCGCCCGCCCACGCAGCTTCGCCTCGCCCGCACGCACGGCACGCACGAACACGAAACCGAAATCGATTTCCCGGTAGGGGGGCTCTCCGTTCCACTTCGATCTCACCCCCTCACCTCCGATCAAGTCCTGCTTGTTCCTCTGCAGAACCCGGCCCCCCCCCCCCCCAACTCTTCCCCAACTTTTGCCACGCCCCAATCTTGCTCCATGTTTGTTTCTTCCTCTGTGGACCCCCTCCCATATCCAAATCCTCCCCAAGTCGTGGCTGTTCCTTTTGTGGTATCCTCCCCAATTCCCAGATCATCCCCAGCTCATGCATTTTTTTCCTTTTGTAGAATCAATCCTCCCCAGGGTCCACATCTTCCCCAACCCTTGCTTTTTCCCATTGAGATTCTTCCCCAACTCCCAAATGCTCCCCGGCTCTTGCTTTTGATTT